CATTTATCACGTATACATTTGTATGCAACTATAACTTGAAATTTGAATAATAATATAATAAATTTCGCATTGGAAAATAATTAAACGCACACACAAATGTTTACGCGCGTTTAAGAAGAGAAATGGCGCGGTAAAAAACATTTTAATCTACGAAATTAAAACACGTTAAACAATTCGCTTGGCAGAGTCTAAATCTTTGTATTCAGTGTTTCAATGCTATAGTATTTAATTACATATTTTGTATTTGCATTCGACTTTAATTAAAGAAGCGACCCGGAAGTCTGTAGATTATTAACTATATGTCTTGGTATATACTTCAGTCTCCTATACAGTACACCTAATCGTTGAGTGACCCAAATTTATATACAATATCATGTTAAGTATTTTTTGGATACTTCCTTCTATAAATTATATAATAGAATTAAGTGCGAAATAATGAAAATGCTTTTCGACTTTGAGTTTAATAAATATACAGTAGTATAATAATACGAATCGGAAAATAGAATCGTTGTTGTGCGGTGATTAAACTGACATTGTCTGGAAGTCACTGCAGACTGCAGTTATGTACAAAGTTTCGCTCGATCATTTATTTCTCGCTAATATAATTCTGCTTAAGCTTAAATGTGCTTAAATCTATATTGTTTAATATAAAAGAAACGATTTTGGGCGAGCGGACACAATATGCTCTTCTTCGAGAATACAATACCAAACAAAACGCCCTCGCGATTACCTATATATAATATATAATGTTTGGATCGGTCTAGTCAAAATACACGATGATATTGTCATAAATTGTATATCTTTACTCAGCGTCGTATAATTTGTGACTGTTACACGATAATAATATATAATATATATTTATTAAATATAATTCGCCAAGCATGATTACCCCTATTTAACTAGTATCAATTTTAATTTTTTATTTGTCAAGTTTTTGTTTGTAGGTTTCTTGTTGTAGTTGACCAATTTTTACGAATTATAAAATGTAAATGGATAAATGTTGATTACTAAAATATTAAAATCATTATCATGGACCTATTACCCTTTGTACAGAAAGTTAAATAACTCAAAAAATCCTCGAATTTCGATTTAGATACATCAACATTTAAAAAAAAAAAACATTCAATTAGTTATTAATGAGAAAAAGGATGATCCTCATTTGAAAATAATATGTTGGTTGTTAGGCCACTAGGCACTTTTTAAATGGAATAACAAATGAGTATTTTTAAATATGATCCTTGAGTCTTAACTATACAGTTATATTTAAAAAAAAAATTATTTAGAGAAATTCATTTCTAATGTAAAAAAAATGGAGGTGAATCCATCTTAAACTTTTGAATATTAAAATTTAAAACGTTTATTGTGAGAAACGTTACAAGTTTACAACATTATAACGATATACGTTTCAAACGTATTATATAACACACTATTATGGTCAAAATTTCGGGTGGGATGTTTATGGTAGATATTCATATCTACATGAATCATAAAATGCCATTATCCTCGGTTTCTATATTTTTTATCGACACGACTTGATTTGTCTCTAGAATCTTTGGATAATATCTTCACGACTCGCTCAGATGATGAATGTTTTATTTACAATTTATTTTTATATATTTTAAATTGCAAAACGTTTGGGTATTTGTTTTTACTGCAGTGCAGATGTGTGTTTTTTTGTGAATTTTTTACGGGTTTTTCACAGAAAACACTTCGGGCGGTATAATAATATTCAAAGAGTTTCATTTTGAGGAACGACTATACATATGTAGGTCTTAAGTCAAATACGTATTATCGCGTATGTATTATGTACATATATACATGTATGACTTACGACAGGCAATTTGTCAAAAAATCACTTAAACAAATGGCGAAGAAATATAAGTTTGGTTATCAAAATCACAAACGATTTTGGTTAAGACAAGCTTTGCTTAAAATTTATTTTCTAATGCAGTCGTAGAAATGTTCGATGTTTTTAAACAATATTATACTGTATACTCTGTAGTATACCTATTATTATACAACTATATGTAAATATGATGCACTTATTTTCTGAGAGACTTCGGCCGATCGACTGCTGTAGGCAATGATAATGTAATTATGGTGATAAGTATATTATTATATTGCATTAGGTACCTGCTGGTCGACTAATTTTATCAATTATGTGCCCATATCGCATGCGTATATAATTAAAAAACGAGTGGATAGTGGTCATTATAATATATATTTAGGCATTCGATATAATATGCACATATATAATTATGTATTTATGTCCACGTAAAACTATACCAATAGACTATTATAATGCATTAATATCACATAGGTAGGTGCACCAGGTAAGGGTAATATTAATATCAAATGTATTAGTTACCGAATTGATTGTACCGCCATATAATCGAAACACTTGGATGCATTTAGTTCACAAAACATATTACATTGTAGACAAAAACAAAAGTCAATACAACTTATAACAAGACCTCAAAATTTATAAATTTTGAGAAATAACTGCAATCGGGTTTTAAATGTTCAAAATGAGACGTATAATGGAATATAATGCCGCATATAAATTATAACTTTTCATTTGGACAACCAAATTTTAAATATACTAAACATCATATTATTTTCAAATTGTTGACATTGTTTGAACTATATATCTAAGGAATGTCTTATTGTGAAGAAAAACAAAAATCCTGACGAAAAGTTCTTCCAAGCCCATTATATATATATATGTGTGTGTGTGAAATATTTAGGTAACCGAAAAACTGCAGTGTCGTCGCCGCCGCTATTGCCGTCATCGTGTAAACGTATATATTTATATTATTATTATATATAAAAGCTAAATATCAGGCGTCGACCAGGAAAAAGAATTTCAACCGACCGAGCCAATATAAAAATTGTCGCGATGGTATTTGTGGGAGGGAGGGGGGAGTTGAACATATATACTCTACGTGGCGAGACCGAATTGCGGGGGCGTTCGAGCGGACGAGCGATTCGCCGTTATTATCGGTCACGTCTAATTATAAAATGCGTCTAAAACGGTCAAACGAAAAGAGAAGATAATATTGTAATCGACGGCACTCGCGTATTATAATAACGCGATCTGTAATTGTTGCCGAGGATTGCAGACAGACCAAGAGCCAGACTAACAGACAGACATACAGTAGTCAGTGAGCGAGAGGGAGAGAGAGAGAGAGAAAAAGTGAATTTATGTATAATATTGTATATAGTATACAGGGTGAGCCGATGCGTTGGTCCGTTTTAGTATACCCACATAATAATATTGAAGGGATTGCTGCAAAAACCAGTCTAGTCCTATTTTTTAATTACTTTTTTAAGCATGATAAAAAAAAAACAATTTTACTGTTTGAACATTTTTCTGAAAATTATATTTACAATTTTTAATTCTATGAAAGACACTATATAATATGTGGACGACAGTGACGTACGTGAATTTGGCCCCACCATGTTATGATAAATACACCAAAATTTTGCAACATTTTGCAACTAATTTGCAACTTTAGGCAACCGGTAAAAAAAAATTTGCAACCTTATATTTTTGTCCTAATCGCTAAACCAAAATTGGTGGGGCCAAATACACGTGGCCCCACCACATCGTCGTATCGACCTCGAACCTTTTTCATAATTTAGCAACTAAATTGCAACTTTAGGCAACCTGTGTGAAAAAAATTGCAACCTCGTGGTTACGCCGGAAACGGATTCCTAAGTTGGTGGGGCCAAATTCACGTGGCCCCACCACATCGTCGTATCGACCTCGGACCCTTTTCATAATTTAGCAACTAATTTGCAACTTAAGGCAACCTGCGTGAAAAAAATTGCAACCTCGTGGTTACGCCGGAAACGGATTCCTAAGTTGGTGGGGCCAAATAATTCACGTGGCCCCACCACATCGTCGTATCGACCTCGGACCTTTTTCATAATTTAGCAACTAATTTGCAACTTTAGGCAACCTGTGTGAAAAAAATTGCAACCTCGTGGTTACGCCGGAAACGAATTCCTAAGTTGGTGGGGCCAAATTCACGTGGCCCCACCATATCGTCGTATCGACCTTGCATTTTTAGGGCCAATATTTAAATTTTTTCGGAATTGATTTTATTTCATACTAATATATTATTTTAAATTATAATTATTATAGTATTATAGTTTCACTTTTATAAATAAAGATTACCTGGTGATATAAAAAAAGGTACCATAGGTACTACCATGTGCATATTGTAATATTTAGTAGGTACATTTTTGTATCTGATACGCAAATCATAATTAAAACAAAATAAAATATTATTAAATATTTTAATAGGATAATATTATTAAATATAATAAAATAAAACAATTTTAAATAAACAAAACGAGTGACTTACAAGTTGTTTTTAAATTGTGCAATAAATGAAAAATAATATTCTAGTTAAAAATACGTACATGAAGTTGCCCGCCCCTCCACTTTGTGCAATATTTTTTGGACAAATGATAAACAATTTTAAAATAATTGTATATCCAATCCCAAATTTGTAAATCATCTGGAGCATCAGGAATATTATAATATATTATTATATATTAATTTAAACTGTTTATATTTGTAAATAACATATTATAATTAGTAACTCATCAATACAGAATTATGACAATTCAAAAATGATGGGCTATTCAAAAACATTTTAATGATTATTAATATTTTGGATATCATGCTGTATAATCATATATTAACAACAAATGTACCTATTGTGAATAGGTACATTTATTTTGTGGTATCATCACATATTATCGTGCATAATTTGCATATATTTCAGTTTCAATAAATAAATGTTGCTGGATGATTCGGGTAGATGTTAATGTTCCATCACAATTTTCTTCAGTACATAGATAAGTGATTGGTTGTATGTACTTATTTAAAGCTGTATTCATATTATTGAAGCCTCCGCAAAAATTTAATATTATTGTTGGGCTTGATAAGTTTTTTTCAGCATTAATACAATTTATATTTGAGCACCTTAATATTCTTCAATAGCTGATGGTACATCTTTTAATAGTTTTGAAATAATATATGTAATGTTACATCTAGCGTCGATTAATTTTACATTAGTTATTCCATCAGATTCGTTAAAAATATTTTTTAAAATATGAAGTCTTTTCAAATACATTATTTTTGAACTTCCATGAATAGCCAAGTCTTTACAAAACTGGAGTAATTCATTTTTCTCTGTGTTAATAAATTGTTTATATTGGTTATTATCAATGTAAGCCATAGTTATAATGACTGCAATTGAGTCAAAAGGGCAAGTGTTATGCAATAAATACCTTTGCTTTGAGATTTTTAGTGGCGTAGTAATATTTCCGTTTATTAGCAGACTATTTAAATTTGAACGTGTTGTCTTTTGCGTCAATATATGTTCAATTTCTGGCACTACATCCATATATGTGGTCATTCTTAGTTTTTTTCTCTTAATGGGCTTTTGATTAATATTTACTTCAATTTCATTATTATCTCCCAATCCTCGCCAATTATCAAATGCATCCATTTCATTTCTACCTTCTGATATTTCCGACACTTCTGAATCACTACCTTCATCCAAATTTCCAAATAATGATCGTTTTATATTTTTTTCTGATGATTTTTTATCTACAGTAGTATCGTCAAGTGTATTTTTTATATGTTCGGTGCTTAAATCATGCCTTAATTGTTTGCTTCTGAAAAGTTTAGTGTTACTGTCTATAGCTTTCAGATGCTTAATAACAAATCTGTCAGCGGTCATTGGTTGAACTTCGTAACGAAGTATTTTTCGTTTTAAGTCACCAAAATCACTCTCTACTGAAGCTGAAGTGGGAGTATCATAAATTGAGTTAAATGATATTTTCATAACATTTGTCCATAATGGAAAGTCTTTGCATACACGTAAAATATCTTTTGCGAGGTTGGGAGCCCAGTAACCCGATAAACTTGTTCCTGTTACTTTTGAATTGTTTAGACTTTCTTCTTCAATTGTTCTTAATAAACGGAAATATTACTACGCCACTAAAAATCTCAAAGCAAAGGTATTTATTGCATAACACTTGCCCTTTTGACTCAATTGCAGTCATTATAACTATGGCTTACATTGATAATAACCAATATAAACAATTTATTAACACAGAGAAAAATGAATTACTCCAGTTTTGTAAAGACTTGGCTATTCATGGAAGTTCAAAAATAATGTATTTGAAAAGACTTCATATTTTAAAAAATATTTTTAACGAATCTGATGGAATAACTAATGTAAAATTAATCGACGCTAGATGTAACATTACATATATTATTTCAAAACTATTAAAAGATGTACCATCAGCTATTGAAGAATTAAGGTGCTCAAATATAAATTGTATTAATGCTGAAAAAAACTTATCAAGCCCAACAATAATATTAAATTTTTGCGGAGGCTTCAATAATATGAATACAGCTTTAAATAAGTACATACAACCAATCACTTATCTATGTACTGAAGAAAATTGTGATGGAACATTAACATCTACCCGAATCATCCAGCAACATTTATTTATTGAAACTGAAATATATGCAAATTATGCACGATAATATGTGATGATACCACAAAATAAATGTACCTATTCACAATAGGTACATTTGTTGTTAATATATGATTATACAGCATGATATCCAAAATATTAATAATCATTAAAATGTTTTTGAATAGCCCATCATTTTTGAATTGTCATAATTCTGTATTGATGAGTTACTAATTATAATATGTTATTTACAAATATAAACAGTTTAAATTAATATATAATAATATATTATAATATTCCTGATGCTCCAGATGATTTACAAATTTGGGATTGGATATACAATTATTTTAAAATTGTTTATCATTTGTCCAAAAAATATTGCACAAAGTGGAGGGGCGGGCAACTTCATGTACGTATTTTTAACTAGAATATTATTTTTCATTTATTGCACAATTTAAAAACAACTTGTAAGTCACTCGTTTTGTTTATTTAAAATTGTTTTATTTTATTATATTTAATAATATTATCCTATTAAAATATTTAATAATATTTTATTTTGTTTTAATTATGATTTGCGTATCAGATACAAAAATGTACCTACTAAATATTACAATATGCACATGGTAGTACCTATGGTACCTTTTTTTATATCACCAGGTAATCTTTATTTATAAAAGTGAAACTATAATACTATAATAATTATAATTTAAAATAATATATTAGTATGAAATAAAATCAATTCCGAAAAAATTTAAATATTGGCCCTAAAAATGCAAGGTCGATACGACGATATGGTGGGGCCACGTGAATTTGGCCCCACCAACTTAGGAATTCGTTTCCGGCGTAACCACGAGGTTGCAATTTTTTTCACACAGGTTGCCTAAAGTTGCAAATTAGTTGCTAAATTATGAAAAAGGTCCGAGGTCGATACGACGATGTGGTGGGGCCACGTGAATTTGGCCCCACCAACTTAGGAATCCGTTTCCGGCGTAACCACGAGGTTGCAATTTTTTTCACGCAGGTTGCCTTAAGTTGCAAATTAGTTGCTAAATTATGAAAAGGGTCCGAGGTCGATACGACGATGTGGTGGGGCCACGTGAATTTGGCCCCACCAACTTAGGAATCCGTTTCCGGCGTAACCACGAGGTTGCAATTTTTTTCACACAGGTTGCCTAAAGTTGCAATTTAGTTGCTAAATTATGAAAAAGGTTCGAGGTCGATACGACGATGTGGTGGGGCCACGTGTATTTGGCCCCACCAATTTTGGTTTAGCGATTAGGACAAAAATATAAGGTTGCAAATTTTTTTTTACCGGTTGCCTAAAGTTGCAAATTAGTTGCAAAATGTTGCAAAATTTTGGTGTATTTATCATAACATGGTGGGGCCAAATTCACGTACGTACGACAGTGGACACTGTAGGTTTGTATTTGCTCCATTTACATTTTATAAAAATGTAATGAACTTGATCCGACATGTAATTTGGTGGTCGTATCGAGATGCATCTGGTTTTACCAAGTTGTATGGAATTATGGAAGTACCTATACCTATATGCATACTATACTAATGTTTATTTATTATGTTAAAATGTGACCAATATTTTCTGCAAAAAAAAGACAAGTCGGGACCTATTTTATTCTCACATACCATAATAGAAAACCAGCCTAGTCCATATTTACTATAAAAACTATACTTACATATGACGGACTAATCTGGTTGTTGCCACCAACTTGTATGGCAATTTTTCTTTGTTTTATTCAGTGAAAATGGCATTTTCGTAAAAAAGGGACTTGTTTGGCTTTCACAGCAAGCTCTTCAATATTTTTACTATACGTAGTATAGCACTCGCGACTTTGCAGTGGTCCTGCACCCTATATAATGTCCATCAAGTGGGTGAAGTCGAAATCACAGAAGCCAAGAATGTCGCGTTGTATAGGAAAGAAGGGGGTGGTTGCGTCTCTAATCGGATGCTATTTTCGCTGCACGGAAGTCTCTCGCGAATTCGCCGGGTTCGCAAATCCGAGTCTATATTATAAATTATATAATTAGACACACTCGCGCGTATTTCGATTCAATTAATATTAATTTTTATCTTTTTACTATACGTCGAATACTATTATAGTTGTTGTTTTGGTATACGCCTATACCTATTATAGTATATTATACCACGGTAAAATAGGAATCCGCCATATAATAAAATATCCACAGGTAAGAACATCCGGAAGTATATGTGAACTCCGAAATAGATTCAATCAATACATTTCAAAGGATGCTAGTTGTAACTTATTAATGAATGTACCATTGTTGTTACGAAAAAATATATCAATGTAACCGTTGTAAAGTATAATATATTATATGTAGGTACTATGTATGCATTGTAATTGTTATTTATTGTAAGAATGACAAAAGACTATAGGTAATAATAGTAAAATTTACCTTGCATGACGAAAACTATATATTTATTACTGTTCATAGTCCTTACAATATTATCAAATGTATACATATGGGTACAAGGATAGGTTAAAATCGGTGTTTCCGAATTGCGGACAAAGTGACAAAAACCATGTGAGTTGCGGACGAAATCTAAAAAGGTAACATACGAATGGAGGACACAAATATAAGATACTAATTGCGGATAATGTTACAATATTCACGTGGTGAAATCAGTAGAATATCTTATATACAGGCTGTTTTAAAAACTATGACGATAATATTAATAATGACGATAATCTATAAATATTTTATAAACAATTTTTTCCACAAAATTAAAACAATCTATAATTCAACAACATTTTAAAAATAACGATTGCTCTTTTGCAAGACACAAATATTTTTAACCCCACCTACCAATTTTTTTTTTTAGCTATTGTCATAAGTTCTGAAAAAGTGGTGAAGGGAAATATTTGTGTCCACAACTAACGTAGTTTTTATTAAAAAAAGCTCTGTACGCAATTAGTATTATGACAACGAAGCTCGTGTCCACAATTGTTATATTATAATTCCTAACCTGAATAATTCGTCCGCAACTAGTATGTGTCCGTTAAAATAATATCGTACTGCCAGTGCATACTAGTTTCCTCCTAAAATATTCGATATTCCTCCCGGCTTCCATCGAAATCGTAAATAAAAAGGTAAAAAAGCACTAGTTGGCTGCTTCTTATGAACAGGTAGTTCATAGTTATATACGAGTTACCTCCCATATAGAATTAAGTACTACTTCATAGACTTCACTACGTAAGTAAATGGATGTGTACAATTATGTATACAAAATAATTATAAAAATTAAATTTACAGTAACATATATTTAGTATTATAATTTGAATTACAAATTTAATATTAAAATCAATTAATATTTTTTTTAAATAATATCATACAACGAGTACGTTGGAAATCAACTAACGGTAATCGATCACTTACGAAAGCATTTACCGTCGTATTTTTAACTACCTGTCGTAGTAAATACTAAAATGCTAGTTAATACTAAATTATTACCCACCATCCATTACCCACCCACCTACCACCCTTTAAATACTCAGAGACCGCCAACTCTGGATCACCCCATTCTCCTCGAACTGGGCCACTCTATTAACACTATAGTGGATGCCTCATTTGGTCTTCTCGCGAGACTTCTTCCGACTTTCCACGGTCGATGTTAAGACGATCTCTTCGAGTCTGCTCGTCATATCATATATTATTATCATCCACAACGGGTGTACGGTTTCCGGTATAATATTGTATACGTGGTTTGACGGAAAGATCCCGGAAAAAGCGAAATGTAGGTCACATGGCGAGGCTCATTGTGTTAAAGTAGAGGCGTGTTTTTGTTTTTCGCCGTAAAATACGATAAAATTTAATAGGGTAACTCGATACGTTTGAACAACTGACGTTTTATTTCGTGCTAGGCCGACTTTTGTGCCACCATATATATATATATAATACATACGCCGAATAAGATTATTCCGAGCGTAAATATATATATATATATATAGGCGATTATAGGTAGTATTAACCCTCTTGTGTCCGGGAGGTTAAAAGGGATTTTAAAAGATCAAAATGCCTTATCAGACGAAAAAAAAAATTCTATAATAAAACAACTTTTTAATACAACATGTTACATACCAATACTATATAATATAAACCTACTATATACACAGCATACAACATCAATTTTATTTTTATGTTTCAGGACAAGTGACATTTCCTACCAGAAATACGAAAAACTAGGTGCTAAATAATTTTTTTTGTGCGTAGGAAGTAGTCAAGAGACTTGTAAAAATTGTGATGCGGCTAAGTGCTAACCAACAAACATATGGCGCTCTGTCTTTCCTATTATTATTGATCATTGAATTATTTTAATTTTAATACTTAGATGATACTATACTTAGATGATACGATTAAAAATTTGTAATTTTTTTTTCCTTTAGCTTATTGTAGAATATTTGCTGAACGAACAAACTAAATAACTATTAAGGTATAATAATGCTTTAAAAGATTCAATTTTAAGTATTTCTACAGTGAATACAGTGTTCAAGTGTTCTATTTGAATTTTTAAACAAATCAGGAAAGCTGACTCTGCCAGTTTAATAAATTCCCGGTTTCTAAATGTATTTAATACAAAGCATTAAAGCATTATTTTCTATATAATAATGTACGTAGGTACATTACGCCTATACGGAAAATAAATAAATATCTTAGTACCAACAATCGTAACTATGTAAGTAATAGAAACTAATAAATGACGGGACGGGCGACCACAACGGGAATATATAAGGTAGGTATTCTAAACTCATGAAATGAAAACTAAAATATATTAAAATTCAGTTTTTTGATTAAATACTTACTATTCAATTGCTTTGAAAACTATTCATAGGTAACAATAATATTGTAGAATAGACAGTCTTAGAGTTTTTATAGAAACCGAAGTTAAGAACATGGTGTAATATTCATATTATGAACATTTTGATTTGAATCTCCCGAAAATTAGTAAAACCACCCCCCCCCTATTTCGTATTTACAACCAGTCGATATTATAGTAATTTAACATTTTATATTAGTATAAATCGTATAATAATCGACCATCTTTATCGATTTCGAGGTTTCATCGGCAAAACATTAATAAATTGTGCTTGGCTCGCTGACGATATATCAATATTACACTTTGTTTGTTCGTATAATATACTCTATCTGCCTATCTACCTACTTATTCCTCGGTAAATCACTGCGTGGGAGGAGGAAATTGCTGTAACATCAGCGCCGCTCTAACCACCAATAACGCCCTAGGGCAACAATATTTGACGCCCCTCACCCTCCCACCAAAAAATCTCGACTTCGCATTTTTAGCTTATAATTAACCACATACCTTAAATATGTTTAATACTTATTAATTAAAGGTTCCTACTTATTTTTTAAATATTATTATTGGAATCATATTTATTTTGTTTCTAGTTGAACACCAATTTCATTATTCTGGGAACACTCGTACATTACAGAAAGAAAATATATATAACTATTTTCACAAATTAGTACTTAGATTTCATTATAAATCATACATTCTGCGTTTCTGCGTGTGTAATAACAATGTAGTATAACAGTCAACATTGTAAATTGCACAAGTGAATATAAGTGGTTATAAAATTCAAAGGTGGGCATTAACTAGTGGAAAAGTTAAAGTTCAGTTAAAAAGTTAATTTTTTTAACTTTTTAACTTAACTAGTTAGTTTATTTTCTAATCAACTTATGAACTTAAATAGTTTAATTTACAATTGAAATAACTAAGCTTTTCTCAGTTGATTTAAAAAAATCCATTAAGTTAAAACATTTTTAAATTGTTCGTTTATACTTAAATATTACGAATTTCGAACGCTCATAAAAATTTAATTTGACTTTCTAATAGACATTTTTTTTTTTTGATAAAGGTAGATAATCTTATAAGGAATCTTGTATTACATTTTCAAATCTTCAAAAAAAAAGAAAAATTTTTACGAATTCTTAACTCAAAATAATTTGCTAATTTTCGTGATTTTTCCATATTTTGTCAATTTTTGAACTTTAAATGCTTATAAAAAAAAATTGTGACTTAGGATTTTTAATATTTTTCATCTACCTTTGAAACAATATACTAGAAGCCTTCTATTAAATTTTCAACTTTTCGCAACCAACAAATAAAATTTTATTGATATTTTTAGAAAAAAAACTAAAAAAAAATGGAAAATGAAAATGTCCCTAAACAGTTCAAAATAAATCAAAATATTTTGAAAATGTTATCGTGTATACAAAATGTAAATATAAACAACCAGGGAAAATTTCTTGTATATACGTTCATTTCTTTTAGAGTCACACCAAAAATCAAAATCGATTTTTTGGAAAACCGATTTTGCGTAAAAATTTCCGTTTTTCCTTAATTTGTATGTTGTTTTTCCCGGTGCTTGTGAAAACTACTTCTTTTGACCCCCCCAAAGTACCAACTAGATTCACTTTCGGACTTTCCTATCAGAAAAGATACTGTTGAAGAAAATCCAAGCACTTTTACTGTCCTAAAACGTGGTGACAGACACAAAAATAAAAACAAAAAAATAATGAAAAATTTAAAAGTGTGTGGTATAATATGTCAAGTGTAAGAGCGCCACACACTTTTAAATTTTTCATTATTTTTTGTTTTTTTAGAAAAGTGTGTTTTTAAAAAAAAAATTTTTTATTTTTTATTTTCTACTTTTTAGTTAAAAAATTTTTTTTTACGGATTATTATATTGTCATCAATAACCAAGGTCTATACCAATTTTCAGAATTTTTCATCTTCAAAAAGTGCCTCAAATCGAGCGCGCAAGATTTGATCACAGACGGACGTGAAACCGAACTTAAGAAAAGTGTATAAAAAAAGGTACTACTAGGTAGGTACCAAAGATATGAATTAGTTTAGTTTATAAGTATATTACAATTACTTAATTATTGTAATGATGTATATACATATTTAAAATATATTTCATGTGCCTAAATAAATTACTATTGCAATCTTAATAATCTTATAACTTATAAGTATTAATATTTGTATTTGTTTTTATAAATATTGAATATATTATTATTGAAGTTATGTCGCAATAAGATTTAACACATTATTTACATAATTGTATACCTACTTAATAGTATACAATTTTATAGATACTCATCTTTGATATTACAGTATAAACAAAAAAATAATACCTAAAATAAGAACACCAAATTTTTCTTTTTATCATCCATTTCTAGTACGCCCCCTAAATTCATAATACTTTAGACGCCCTAGGGCACTTGCCCCATTTGCCCCCCCTTGGGACGGCTATGTGTAACATATTATAGACCCAAGCACCGTCTGCACCCTATACCCGCGGCGGGGACAAAACGATTTTATCCGACGACCATATAGCATAATATACACTGCAAAACTCGTATAAACAATAATATATAATAATATCCATAATCACGTTTATATAGGTACTATTATAACCTTTTAGGACCAAAACGATGGTGGCAAAACCGTATGTATATTATTAAACAGGGTATATTACGTTGTGTGTTTAACTGAAAGTTTTGATCTCCGACAGCCATATATATTATTTATACCTATGGGTACTATAATGCGTCTAAGCTGTAACCGTTCGCAATTATACGAAGTTGTAGTCATCGGAATACAATATATTATTATTATTATAACATTACGAACAACGATCGATTCAATATTGGCAACTGAAATTGTTCGCAATATTTCGATGGATCGCTTAAAAAATATTATTCTATGCTCAACCGAAAAATGTCGTCTTAATAGTTTAAACATGATTATGGTAGGTAGGTAGGTTTTCAAACAGTGTCACGCGGAACGACATGTAGTTTGTTTTCGCTAATAAATGTATCGCATCTAATATTATTTTACGTTTTGAGTAAATAATAAAATGTACTAAATACATACAGTACGCTTATAAGTTATAATAGTAATAATATCTTCGATTAAAAACCATCATGGCCAATCTCAAAAAATTTAAATTTTGCGTTAAAGATAAATGGATAAATAGATTCGTGCTTTTAAGAAGCGGGAGTCCGTGTTATTAGTGTATTAAGGTTAGAAAGATATTATGTTCAGTATACGAAAACAAAATGCAGTCGTGGATTAACTATAGGGCAAATATTACACTATCCAAGGCCAATCTCTTGAATACATAGTGAAAATTCATTTTTACAGAATATCATGGCCTAAACTTAAAGAAGGACTAATATCAGGTATCATGCAGCCTATATAGGTATCAAAAGATTCTAAAGTCTGAATATTATTCACTACGGCCATTCACATGAATTTTTAGTAAAATTAACATTTCATAAAGAATCACACACTATTTAGACTTTAGAGTTGATTGTTTAGACACCTTAGAGACATTGTATGCTGACACAGAAAATTGGTTAAATCGCTGGGTTAAAATTTAACCCATTTAGTGGTACTAACTTTCTCCTACCAACTAAAAGGTTATTTATTTCACCCGAAAAGTCGGAAAAACTGAGATCAGCCTCGATGGTTCTCGAGCGACAATATCTAGAGGTACCGCCAGCGACATATCGGAACAAACACCCTTATAAGTCAGAAACAGTGATAAAAATAGTAAAACACTAATAAATAATATGTTTTAAATTTACTCACATAGCTCCTCGCCGAGCACCCACGTTTCCGGTCTGGAGTTGACCTCCACGAACACGGTGGGCGTGCATATGAGCAGCACCATGAGGTCGGCGATGCTCAGGTTCATCAGGAATATGTTGGTCGAGTTGCGCATGTCCTTGGACTTGAGTATGACGATCGGCACCATCATGTTGCCGACCACGCCGACGCCCAGTATGATGACGCACACCACCATGCACGTGGTGCGTATGTAGCCGGGAAACGACAGATCGTCGTCGAGGAACTGGATGACGCCGTTGGCGGCCGTGTCGTTGGGCGAGGGCGCGGCGCCGCCCGCCGTGTCGTTGCCGGCGACGGTCAGCGGCGAGCTGTCGTTGCCGAACGCGACCACGTCCAGAGCGGAAATCATGCGTGTGGCCGCGGCGGCGGTGGGTGGCTGTGCGGGCGGTGCCTAGGTGATGCTCGACCGCAACCGGCGATGGTGGACCGTGGCCGTAAGCGTGCCGCTGCAGCCGCTCGTCCTCGTCCTGCTCATGCACCGCAGACAGGACATCGGTTCACCCGCATACGGGCGACGGCTTGGCCACATCCGGATACCGCGGGGACGTCAACGCGACGACGGCCGCAGCCGTCGGCCGCCCGTCACCGGCGCCGGCCGGTCCGGTTGCCAGCAGCGGGACTGCGCCCTGGAAAACGGGAAAGTTAATATTTTTTTCGTGGCCCAAAGTACACGTCTAAAGTATTAGAGGCGGGCCTATAACTAACCAAAATATTATGGCCCGAGTTAAATGTCAATGCGCCGACGACGCGTCCTAATTATAGATGCCTATAATTTATAAAATTATTATCTACTATTTCCAAACGATCGCAATTTACATTTTTGTTGATGCAATTCATTGCGGGTTTATCAGTCCACGAGTAAAACCAGAAATTAATATTACATTTATAAAATAGTTCTATATATAAATGTATTTACATTTTAAAATGAAGACGCGTATCTATAATCTATTATAGAGTACTATGGTCTATGACTGACGATAATTTTTGAAACCTAAATAAAACGTTGTTTAGCATATACAGTGACTTGAATGTTAAGGCGTCGTGAATAATATTAATACCTTTTTGTGGTTTTTAATAGCAGTTTGTCAATTAAAACGTGGAAATGCGTGTAAAACTAAAATATTCGAGAACAAATCAGTATAATAATTAATATTAAACATTTTTTTTGTTGTTTTCTTTATACATTTTCAATGGTTTCTTTATGTTTTATTGTTCTTTCCAAGTATTCCTATACTTTTTTTAAAAATAGGTACCTGCAATTACAAAATAAAATGTTGTTATGTCATGTGTGCCTCATTCTAAAAAAGGTGGGTAAGTGGATGTCGCTCTGCTGTACAGTAGGTTACAAGTGGGTCACTGTATAATGGATGCTATTAAATTTGAATTCAATGATACAATATCATTGTATAAGAAAAACGATTCTGAGCGAAGACGGTATGTCAGTCTAGGTTTAATACAAATTATATACATATCTATGGTATTAAAAAAAAAATTGACCTATAATAAATTCCAAATTAATCATATCACATTATCACAATATCCATTAGGTACTTATAACACGTTATACATCAACATCAACAACAAACCCTGATACTATCATATATATATAATAGTACACTTTAGAAGTTTCAAGTAGGTACCCACGAATAATATTATATAATCACAACAAAATAACTAGGTTTTTTAATATGTAATTTCGTCCAAATTTGAACATAAAATGACTATAAAAGTAAACTGTGATTGTATATTTTTTAGATTTTTCGGTAAGAGAATTAACTACTTACGTGGAATCTTGTTTTAAATTTTCAATCCTTAGCTATAAAAACTGAACATTTTATAATTTATTAATTACGATGATTAATAATTTTCGAGATTTTGACAAATTCCATCAAAATTCGATGTTAAAATGCTTATAAAAAAAAATTGTGCCTATGTATTTTTAATATTTTTCAACTGATATTGTAACAATATATCAGGAGCCTTGTATTAAATTTTTACACTTTTTGGCCCAACAGATAAAACTTAATTGATATTTATAGAAAAAAAAACTAAAAAAATTGAAAACTGAAAATGTCCGTAAACGACTCAAAAAGTGTCAAAATATTTTCAAAATTGTAGGGTGTATAGGAAATGCTAATATAAACATTCAGTGAAATTTTCATGTATCTACAGTAATTCGTTTTTTAATTACAACAAAAAAAGGAAATTGCCACATGAGAAATCGAGTGAATATCCAATGTTGTAAAAATTTGAATTTCAAACGCTCATAAAAATTTAATTTGACTTTCCGGTAGAAATTTTTTTATTGATAAAGGTAGACAATCTTATGAGTAATCTTGTATTAGATTTTCAAATCTTAGATTTAAAAAGAAAAATTTTTACGAATTCTTAACTCAAAATAATTTGCTAATTTTCGTAATTTTTCCATATTTTGTCAATTTTTGAACTTTAAATGCTTATAAAAAAAAATTGTGACTAAGGATTTTTAATATTTTTCATCTGCCTTTGAAACAACATATTAGGAGCCTTCTATTAAATTTTCAAGCTTTCGCAACCAACAAATAAAATTTTATTGAAATTTTTAGAAAAAAAACTAAAAAAAAATGGAAAATGAAAATGTCCCTAAACAGTTCAAAATAAATCAAAATATTTTGAAAATGTTATCGTGTATAGAAAATGCAAATATAAACAACCAGTGAAAATTTCATGTATATACGTTCATTTGTTTTAGAGTTACACCAATAACCAAAATCGATTTTTTGGAAAATCAATTTTGCGTAAAAATTCCCGTTTTTCCTTAATTTTTATGTTGTTTTTCCCGGCGCTTGTGAAAACTACTGGGAAATTTAAATTTTGACCTCCCCAATGCACCAACGATATTCACTTTCCAATCGAACAAGATACTGAAGTCGAAAATCGAAGCATTATTTCGACTACTTATCGTGTACACAGATAATAAAAAAATAAAAAATAAAAAAATAAAAAAACACACATCATTGTAAAATCAATACATTCATCGTTTCACTCAGAATCTAAAAAACGTGCGACCAATTACATGATAACTGGCTAAACGGTTTTACATTATGGTATTATTATTTTTTTGCTAGTAATTATTAACTATAATATTCAAAACTTCTTAACCCTTAGTGACATGCTTAGTATTGACCATATAGTTGCTAGTGAGGGGTAATTTTTTTTCGGTTTAAATAAAAAAATAATTTATTTAATTTAATGTTATTGATTAGTGATTACTAGTGTTTATTATTGTACTACGATTATAAAATATTTTTGTTTTACACTTATACTCTATTACTGAAGTATATTAATTACCTATTACATACGAATAAATTAGTTTATAATTTTTGTCTGTTTTATACAAAATAAATTCATTTAAAAATTATATTTTGACAATTTTGTAGTTTTGTTATTGTACCTATATGATAATACCTATAAAATATATCTTATGATTCTATACCATGACTCAAGTTTGAGTGTGGAATATTCACTAAAAAAATGTATAGCATATCAAAAATTTAATGGGTAAATAATTACTTCACGCACATCACCAAAGGACGTAATAACATTTTTTTTAAATTAAAAAACCTATTTCATTCCACAGGTAGTAGGTACATTATTTTAAAAATCGGATGCAAAACATAAAAATTAATAATTTATTTTATTTAATTTATTGAATTGTAGAAGTTGTTTAACGAATTTCACTATACTAATTTATCGTTATAATGTGGCAATTCGTGACTACGTTATATAGATACTATCGTCTATCGATATGATTTATTCCAGTCCAACACACTGATTTTTAGTTTGAATTTCATGCGCTATACATAATGTATGAACACGCTCATGATAATGTTATATTTAGATAGGTATTGTATGTTGTAAATCTCAAAAAGTCATTGCGTGTTATAATACAAATCGCATGCTATATCGTTCGGTAGATTAATATTGGTATACATCGTGGAAACGATCGAAGTCACGGATTAATTATAATATGGAGTATAGTTTCAGTGGCGTATTTGAGATAAGGGAGCAACAGGGGAATTCGTCCACACAGACACTGCCCTCCAAGATCTTTTTTTTACACTTTTGAACGCTGTATTTAAAATATATTATACATAGCGATAGCATATTAAGTTTCTTTAAATTACGTACAAATACACCAAATATGAATATACTCCAACAATACAGCGATATTTTCTATTAATTATTGTATCTTATTATTGGAGAAGGTATCAATAATAATATGTACTATGCGAGCTTTCGTTGTCAAGATTTAATTTAATTCTCATGTGTGTCGTGATATCGGTAGACAGTCACCATAACAATAACCAGCAAGTATCTATACCTATGTACCTATTATTATAAACTATAGGTACATGCACTCACGACGTTCGTCCGTCCATCCCACGTGTTGTTATAATGACATTACACAGTCAACGTCCGTCAAATCCGCAGTCGGTTTCTAGGTTAGGTCAACTGCTTTTCGAAATGTCTTGTATGCAGTGTACAGAATACACGTGCAAATGTAAAATATTATTATTATATTATATGAGTGCGTAAATAGTAACGCAACGCATAAACGTAAGGAAACAGTTGTGGATTTAAGGTAGGAAGAAGGACCTAGACCCTCCCCACGGCCCATTAGCTGTTAAATATAGTTGTAACATAAAACTCAGAAATAACTTATGCTATTACGTTTAAACTTGTATACTTATTGTACCTACATTTTAATTAATACTATAAAATTCCTTTATACTAATAATTACTGATTAGGCTGTTTTTTATAATAAATGTATTTAATATTGTTTTGAAAAATGTTGGCCCTCCCCCTCAAAAAAAAAAATCTTAGATCCACCTCTGTTAAGAACGCGCATAACTTCATAAGAGTGCATGTCTCATGCGTTACATGACTGTCAGTAAAATGTACAACGTGGGTATATGCGCAATTTAAAGAGGGCTTGGGTTATGATTACCATCGTTCTCCATTATTTGTTTTATGTCATTTCCGGTTATTAACTATAGATCTTATTTTATTTTAATAAATTAATATTAGATATGTACTATAGGTATTGGACAAGTATTTGGACCAGGATAAGATTATATAGAATTGGTGGTGTCGGGAGACCGCAAATTTCTAATGATTGTAAAATCCACGATTATCGGATTATATAACTACAGTAAGAAGCTGAGAGATAGTAAAGCATAAAAAGAGAGACTTCAGCGGCCAACAGATTTTTTATCGAAATTACTCCTCTGCAGGGATTGGAGCCTTTAAGTCGACAAACCAACAATCCTCACGTGCATACATAATATGATAAAATAATAAAAACCACTGGTCTATAGTAAATTAATAAATAGATACACCTGCAGGGTTACGATGGTTGATATTTTGTTCGTGATGTAACCGCAGTCGATGTTAAGAATAGAGACATATATTACTAAATTATTTAATTATTATGTATATCAGAAATAGTGTGAAAATCGACAGGCAAAAATACCGTCAGCTGGTTCAAATGTTCGATCGACTGTAAGACTAAACACAAAGGCACATTGCAACATAATGGGGTCAAAGCATTTTTCCCGAGTTAAAAAATTACGACCCACTCAGTGGCAAAAATTCGATGCTTCCGTAATTTATTGAACGAGCGCTAATAGTATAATTCAAAGT